AAGGATTCCAACAGTTGCAAGCGATGCATCGTCATGGGAGAAGGAGAAGACGACCCAGAGATGTACGCTTTGTAATGGCGACGTTGGCATTTTACCCAAGTAGAAAGGGAATTATTCTCGGGGTAGGCAGATGGTACATTGCAGTGGCCCGTTCTTTGCTTGAACTCCTTGAGCTCATTGAACTTCTCCTGCCACGCCGAAGCGTGCGAGTGCCATACAAAGCCAACAGATTCAAGCTCCTGGATACGAGGAGTTGACATGGTAGAGGTGGTGTCACCATCCTGGAACTTTTTGTATTGGTATCTTTGTCGCTTCACCCATCGGGCAAGAGCAGGATCCTCAGGGTAACAGTGAGGAACGCAACAGTGTCCGTTTTTAAGCTTGTATTGGATGAGCCTTTGGAACTGAGCTCTCCATTGCTTGTCTTGATAGGGCCGAAAGCGAGGTATGCTTTCTTCTTTATTGCTGGTGGCTTGCATTTGAAACGTCCGTTTGCGGTTGCCTGAGCCGCCTAGGTTGTGGCTGGAGACGAACCCTTCGAGACACTTTTTGGATTGCGCAAATATGCTGCTCTTAGCTTCTTGTCCAAGGGTGGTGTTGTTTGACATGCAATCGTCTCTGAGACAGATTGATTGCATTTGAGGCCCGTTATGATTAGGGCGAGTTGAAAGTCGACCTTGTGATCTCAGAGGCGAAGGTTCCATTCGCAGATCATCGAATGGATCCTCGAAAGACGGAGGTACACGGAATTGAGGAGACGTAATCATTGATGCATCCAATGGCAGCAAAGGGCTTCTCAGAAATGAAAGTATGCTTTCATCCTCAGCGATAGTTGAGTAGTCGTTTTCGGTACTACAGAACATGGTAGTAAACAATTCCCTGCAAATGTTGAACCTGCAAATGTTGAATGATGAAGTCGAAGGAAGAATTGTGAGTTGAGCTGCGCGTGAGGAACGCTATTACTGTTTTCCAAGAGCCTCATTTTAAACCCGTTGACATTTTTGGTTTTGATTGGAAGCGACGGATTAGCACTGCGAAAAAGACTTCTTATCGGCAACATTTAGGACAGAGTACCAGTCGAAAACCTGTACTCGTTCGTGAAAACGGCAAAATCTGTCCGTTTTCCGACCAAGATATTGAGTTTACCAAATCACTAAAAGTAGCTTTTCCACCCCTTAGCCTTGCCCAAAAGTGTCCAATCTACCTGCTGATGTAGTCAGAATGCTGGTACGTCTAGAATTGGCAGATTGGCTGACTTCGTCAATTCTGGTAATTTTGGTCATTTTTTGGGGGATAAACGACAACTGCAGTTTTACACAAAAATGTACTAGAGCTACGTGAAAAAACGCATCGAGTTTCGGCAAATTCTCCTACTATATCAAAATCACTGTCAACTATCAAACGAAAAACTCTTCTTCTTTGTCTTCTATTGCATGCATCTTCTTTGGCAACTTTTGCAATGCAGCCGTATCAAGAGGACAAACAGCCAGTCCATCGCCACCATATTCTCCCTGTGTAATACCTGTTTCTGCAAACGCGATGATTCATTCTTCTCGGCATCTGTTAGAAATAAAAAATAGGACGACTATCTTCAAAATAATCATTCAGATGCGAGTCATTAACTCTGCATTGTCCATGCGACCAATCAGGTCTACATGCACTGATGACTATCTACTTCAGTTCCATAACTATAGTATCAACTATTCTGCACTCAATCAAAGTTGCAACAACAATCAATCTAGATGGTTTACTGAAAAGAATGAACAATTCTTTTCACTACGTTTTATTGGTTGGTCGTCGCGTCAATTCACTTTCACCAAGGAATCTGGAATCTCAAAAACCTCAGTCAAATATTATACCGCATATAATATCTAACACGCTCCTTCGTCCAAGTGGCTCAACATCCATCAGCCGCATCATCATCACTTCACTGGATGATATGTGTCCTTCCGAAAATGGTCTTGTTGACGCCTTGCTTGAGACGACACTTTAAAAATGAATAGCTGTATTTCCGAGAGCAATGAACACCAAGTTCGCTCCTTGATTTTGAACCTTCAGAGTGAGCCTTCGTTCAATACTTTCGGCAATACAAAATCCAATCTCCTTCAAAGAACTGAAGATAACCCCCTGACATCGAAACAATGCTTGGAGGAAGCAGTGATGGCTGTCACTACTTCATGTGCAAGATATCGTTCTTGCACTGACGCATGCACAAGTTGTCGTACTTGTGCGAACGGTTTTCTTTTCAGTAAATGTTAGAAATAAAAAATAGGACGACTATCTTCAAAATAATCATTCAGATGCGAGTCATTAACTCTGCATTGTCCATGCGACCAATCAGGTCTACATGCACTGATGACTATCTACTTCAGTTCCATAACTATAGTATCAACTATTCTGCACTCAATCAAAGTTGCAACAACAATCAATCTAGATGGTTTACTGAAAAGAATGAACAATTCTTTTCACTACGTTTTATTGGTTGGTCGTCGCGTCAATTCACTTTCACCAAGGAATCTGGAATCTCAAAAACCTCAGTCAAATATTATACCGCATATAATATCTAACAGGCATCACTAGTCCTAGCGCCGTCTTGACGACACAGTTAATCACTACAATCAGCCAACAACTTCTGGAGTGCCTTCATCCTCGGATGCAGCCGTTATCCTCTCGACAGTGAATTCATTTAGCTGTTCTTGCTGGTCCGAGTCACCAATCTGCCATTTCGCAGTTCCGTTCAACAGGCCGAAGCAGATTGGCCACAGTTGTGGCTTCCCACGCGGATCTTCAATGTGGACAGGTCAATGAAGGGAAATGGAAGGCGGACGTGATGGTCATCAAAGACGCAAATTGGAGCTAGTGGAATTGGTACATGCGTACGCCTCCTGTCTTCCTTCATCACCATCGTTGCTTTGAGGGATGTTGGATGGAGTTTTGGAAAAGCGATTATGGGCTAGATGAGTACCATCCAATTTCGTGGTACTATTTTACGTAGATCTACATGGTGGGCGATGAACAGACGCCAAAAATGAATTTGCCGATTTTTGTTCATCATCCCCGCTCCTTTTTCCAAAATTGGCCAACCGAGATACCCTACTGGAACACCATAGGAAAAGTAGCCAATCAGCATGTAGACTAATTAAATAATAGGCATTCAGTCGATGTGCTTGGATTTTTATGAAACCTTGTTCTTCATGCTCGACGACTGCGAAGGGGTGATTTTGCCGTTTTACGAACGAGAATTGCTCACGAACGAGTACAGGTTTTCGACTGGTAGTGTCTGTTAAAATGCGAAGCCTTTTTTTAAGAGCCGGAAATTTCCAAAAGAGAAGGGTTGGGGGTTACTGCCTTTTATAATAATTTTACGCAGGACCAGGTTCTCTTGCCAGGTACCAGGACTCCCCGCAACTCGTCTGTCTACCCACCGTTTTTTAGCAAAGTTCGCGATCTGCGCGCACGGGTCTTCCCCCCTGGCAGCAGGGAACCCACCATAAATTAATGTGACTTTTTGAAACCGATCAAATAAATTGAAACAAGTCACTGCGACACGAAACCGATCAAACGATTTTGAAACCGATCAAAGAAATCGAAACAAGTCAATGCGACATGAAACCGATCAATCGATTTTGAAACCGATCAAAGAAATCGAAACAAGTCAATGGGACACAAAACCGATCAAGCGATTCGAAACGAGTCACGAAACCGATCAATCGATTTCGAAACCGATCAAAGAGTCACTGCGACACGAAACCGTTCAATTAATTGATTCAAAATGAGTGAGTCAGTCACGAAACAAATCCTCATTTCAAGAAACGTCACACCGTCAGTACCGGGAGGATCGACTCACAAATATCGAACCTCACAAATATTAGCTTCAGACCTTGAAAAAATGGCGAGGAAGAAAAAGCTCCGACCTGGGAAAGGTGCCATAGCTGAGATCCTGACAAGATTCATCAAGCCAGAACAGCCAAATCCAGGCAGCAAACATCGCAGCATGGTCGTTCTGGAAGAAGAGGATAGAGACGACAATCAAAGAAAAATCTTTCGTTTCTACTATGACGGGGATGAGGAGAGGACTCTAATGTGGGCGAATCATCGCTACCTGAATGTGCTGAAGGAGGGTAACCATCTGCTCCTTTTTGGAGGACCTGGTGAACCAAGACCCCCAGAAAGTAAAGAGCCGAATATCAAATGGCAATTTTCAAAGGCCCGAAGGCTCCTAGTCGAAGCAGTGAATAAGGGGGAGATTGTATTCAACGAAGACGACGAGCCACAACAGGATTTGAAGGAGATTTATGCAAGCAAACCAGAATATTCAGAGTATTTGTTCGAAAAATTTGAGGAGCGATTGAACAATATTTGGATCAAGACTAAAGAGGACAAAAATCGCGCCAGCGACGATTTGGAATTTTTCGAGGAGTTCATCGATTGCAACGAAGTATCATACTTCAACAAGGATGGGACGGCTCAATGGCAGGGGTCGGAGGCGCAAGAGCAGGCACGGGTGGATATAGCGGCTAACGCTGTGTTTCACTTTGGATATCGGCATTTGTTCGAGAACAACACACTATACCATCTGAACTATACACATGAGCAGTTCAAGGCTTATGTGAGGCAAGAGATCAGCCGCAAGAAATACCTTCACACAGTTGAAGTGAGAGCTCTACAAAAAAGAGAAAAGGAGAACAAGAGACAGAGCAGGAAGTAGTATTAACCGTTTACGTAGTAGAATTGGTCAACATTTTCCATCTTGGATTTGTCAGCAGCAGTTCTAAACTATTTCAAGTGGCTTAGTAAATACCGGTACCGGTAGGTAGTGTTTTAGTGAAGTGGTCGTGGATGGATTGAACTTCAAGGAAGCATTTCGAACTCCGCACCTCTGGCTCCAGCAGGTTGCGTTCTGGTACTTGATTTACGAGAAAGCCACGTCGTTGCTGACTCGAAATTGAGCCGACGACCTTCCGATGCGGCCGGTTCTTGGAGTGCCTTCACAAAACCGAATGGTAACGCTTCGAAGTAACAAAGAGTACAATCCAACACGCAAAACTCCAACCAAAAAGGCTGGAAAGACTCCTCGAAAGCCCACTCCATCCAAGATCAGCAGTTCCAGCAAATCAGGTGAGAGCAGTAGAAGCAGGACATCGCATCAACACGTGTGGCCATTGCTCCTAGAGGACATCGAGGTCAGTGGAGGGATACAACGACTCGTCTTAGAGGGCGGTCAATCGCTGGAGAGGCTCCTCAAGGACGTTATCGCTGCTGACGAGGCCAACCCTACAGGTGGAAACAAGTTGGAACTCTACGGTCGGAAAGGTTCTGCCGAACGAGAAGTAATTCGCATGCAAGTGAATCGTTGGAAGAAACAAGACGCCAAGCAATACAGATCAACTCTGGAAAGATACAACATCCTGGCATTTGCAAACCGAACTATAAAGATTGAAGACAGCTTGATATCGGCACTTTCCACTGATTACGAAGGAGACGATTCGGATTCCTCCCTAGCTTCATCGCGGCCTCCAACCCTTGCACCTCCACAAACACAACGAAAGACAAAACAACGTCTAAAGTATCCTCCACCAGCCACCAAGCGTCCTCCTGCCCCAGTCTCCAAGTCTTTGCCTATCGATAAAGCAACACCAAGTACAACTCACCCCTTGTTGCCTCCCGAAAGCAGCAGTCCACAAGAACTCGAACAACTCGACGAGAGCAACAACACGATGTCCGACATGTCCGAGCCTAAGGTATATAATCCAGAAAACAAAGACCCAATGCACACTTGGCCTTTCGTGGTAGTCAAGATCAAAAGCTTGGAGGGTGTGGATGAACATCAAGGCGAGCTATACGAAGGAAGACCGGATATTGTTGCAGAGACTTTGAAGAGGTTGAAAGAAAATCGAAGCGCGAAAGTTGCTGAGAATCGAAAACGGGGAGATTCTACTCCCTCTAGCCATGACAAGTCTCAAACCGC